AATGACTTATCTTTGATTTCTTATTATTTTTTTACTGATGGGATGAGATGGCATGGCATGGGATGGCATGGGATAGGATGGGATGGGATGGGATGGCATGGCATGGCATGGCGTGGGATGGGATGGGATGGGATGCGGTGCGATGGCATGGGATGGGATGGCATGGAATGCAATGGATGCATGGATAGATAGATAGTTCGATTTTCTTTGGCTATTTTCCTTTCAACCAAGCGGTCACAAACTGATCTCCACTGTATCGCCACTGATTTCCCCGGGCAACGCCGGGTATCCCGCTAGTATATATATACAGGAGTAGATAATAGAGATAATCTCTATTATCTACTCCTGATATTATATATATATATATAATAACAACACAACAGGACAACAGACCTGCACAACAAAGAATAGCCATCGTCGAGTTGTGAATGTTTTTTCGTTTTATTTGTATACACACTCATTGATACATAGCTAAATACTTGTAGATCACCATGCAAGGCTTGTGTGTCGAGCCGTAACACTACCGTGTGTACGCCACCGCGACGGCGGTGGCAGCTCTCCCCTCCCCTCCCCTCCCCCGCACGGGTTTAAACGCGGCCGGCGCGGTCACCAGTGTCGCTGCGCTGCCGCTCGACCTCGTTCAGCTTCATGGTGACCTCCTGCAGCGTGGCCTCGACCTGCTTGCGCTTGCGCTCAGAGTCCTGCTTGCTCGTCTGCACGCTCTTCAGCTCGTTGGCCATGTCAACAGCCTCCGATTCCAGCGCTGCCTTCGATTTCTCCACCATGTGTTTCGCCTGTACATCAACGGAGGTGACGTGTATGTGATGAGCTATATATTATAATTATAGTATATATAATATAATATTATAATATTATTATATAATAATATATATAATATAATATTATATATATCTTATTTATATATATATATATATATATATATATATATATATTATTATAGACATATATGATATTATATTATATTATATATGATTTATTATGTGAATGGGTGTTAAGGATACTGCCCAGTTTTTAGGCGCAATTATACCGATTTTTCATTTTCATTATTATTCGATGGCTAACACTAAGTTCTCCCTCTGTAAATACTCATGTCTCCATAATAGCTGCATGTTAACTTTTAGAGCGTTTTGATCGCCGTGTACTTGTGTAGTGAATCGCAGCTGACATCACTGATGACGTCAGAGACATGGTACAACCAGAATTTTCACGGTACCGACTATGCCGGTATCCACCAGCATCAACCCTTCTACAGCTTTTATCTGCCAGTGATAGTTGAAATTGCCACTCGGCCGAAAATATCTTTTACCCCTCATTACATAACTTACATTTAGGCCCGCCTTTGTTGACACATAGCTTAGTAATGTCATGTACTTGTTTGCACGTTTTGCATAAAATTGCGATGGTAACCTTGTCATTTCTCACAATTTGCCATTTTATGTAAAAATACAAAATTTGTGTTGTAACATAATTAGGTCCTGGAAATTTCATGAAATTTTTTGGCTTGAGCATAGAGATACATCTCATCTTTAAATAACCCGTGTGAATAATTTGATTCATTTGTCAATAAGCATTTACTCTTCATTAGAGCAATACCCGTGCAAAGGCTGGACAGTATCCTTAACAAAAAAAGTGGGGACTGAAATACAATTGGGTTCTGGTGGTGGGGTGGGGGGGGGCGAAGCCTCACGACGAAGCGATGTATTCTGTACAATATAAAACACATTTGCTTACATTTTCTGATAAGATAGAATTTTAGAAAATACTACAATATATTTAATTTGTAACATAATGAGTGTCAATGACACTGTAGCTCACCTTGGGTGTGATAGAAGAGGGAGGGGGGATATATAAAGCAAGAGTATATATGGGAGAACTCCCATTATATAGCATATCTCCCATTATATACTCTTGATAATGATATATGCATAAGTTTTGATGCGAAAATAAATGTTTCAGATCTGAGTCTGAAATCTTGACGAGAGATGGCGCTACGCCTAAATGATTGCCATTTTGGTTTTCGAATATCGCGCAAATAAAAACAATAAAATATTCCAGTCAAATTACTGTAACGAAGAATCTAAAACACAATAAATATTACACGTATATAGGTATGATTGTAGAGTTGTTAACCAGTTAGACGAAATAAACGTAATAGGACGTTGTCATCTCTCCCATAGGAGTAACAACTGTTTTGGGGCTAGCCTTACACATTCATATACCAAAATTTAACAAAATCGAATGAATCAAGATAGCCATTTTCATTTTTGCCAAAAAGTGGGCGTGGCTCAAAAGTAGGTCGACTGGCGTGCTCCAAAATAGGTCGTTCAAATCTCTCCCATAGGAGTAACAACTGTATGCAATTTGAAACATGTGGGTCAAACGGTTCTTGAGTTATCGTTGACCGTAGGCAGGCACTGAAATGCATAGTGAAATTGCCAAAACCTACCTAATTTGCATAATAAAAAATAAAAAAATAAAAACCCGTGTGATGTTTTGGGGCCAGTCCTTATTCGTTCACATACCAGAAATGAGCAAAATCCGTTGAACCTGAACTGAATTATGTGACCTACCTAGCACCCCACACCTCTACCCTACGCCCACGCCCGCCTACCTTCTTCAGCTGCTCCACCTGCTCGACGGAGGTCACCTCCTGCTGCGTCTGCTTGTGCCTCAGGTCAGCGACCTGTACCTCGCGAGCCTTCTGCTCCTCCTCGAGCGCCTTCTTTATGGAGTTGAGCTCCTGCTCTCGTTTGTTGCGCAGCTCCTGCTGCACGGCAGTCGAGTCCAGAGACTCAATCAGCTCCGTCTTCAATGCCTCCAGCTCCTGCCAACGATCAACGAGAGACAGCGATCAGCTAACAACATGCTTATCATTAATAATTACAATAATAATAATACATTTAAATATAATTAATGACATCATCTAATGGCATGATTAAGCTACATCACCAGTCTTGTGATAATGCCGCATTGCAAATTTTACATGGTTATGTTCCATGTTCTTACACGACAGTGTTATTGGCTATAGTGATACACCGTTTTACTTGTAACACGGGCCTATTCTGCTTGCAGACAAAGTGTGATCGACATACCTCACTGAGGTCTCTTCGTTGCTTCTCCGCCTTGCCGCGGGCAGCCTTCTCCACATCCAGGTCCTCCTGTACCTCGGCCAGCTGGCTCTCAAGCTCACGCGCCTGCTTGTGCACCTGAGTCTTACTCGCTGACTCCTCATCCACCCTGCAACGCCATTAACACACTGACCACACTAATTGACCAGCATTCATAACTCATCCACACGCAAGGACCAAATTGTAAGGCTGCTTCACTTCGCACCCACCCCAGTCACACTGGCGATTGCCTGGAACCTATATTCCTCCCCCCAATCGTTACTCAACTTAGTCACGAATTCCCCACCCCCAGGAATTTGGTCAGGTAACGGCCCTGCAAGAATGCGCGTGGGTGACAAACCTCTGCACTAGTTTGGCAAGCTCCTCTTCCTTCTTGGCCAGCTGCTGGGTGAGCTCGTCACATTGCGCCTTCTTCTCTGCGAGCTGCTCCCTTGTATCGGCGAGCTCTGCTTCCAGCCGACGCTTGATGCGCTCCAGCTCCTCACGAAGCTGTAGAGCGGGAGCAGAGTAGACATGTCACAGGTCGCCACACATTGTGCATCCACGCCACCACAATGACAACAACTACACATACACATGCGATGAAAATAATTTCTCCACTAATTAATGTTACGTTGCGTTACGTTATCCTCTTGGTCCCCCGATGGGACTCAAGGCCGTAATAATAACAACTAACTAATGATCAGAGTAAAACACAGAATATCATCAATTAATATAGTGTGTGTCGGCAGGATTTCAGTAGAGAGGATGATGCTTACGGCGATCTCTCTGCGCAGCCTCTCTTCGAGGTCGTTGATGTTGGCTTCATGCTTGTTCTTGGCCTTCGTCAGTGCCTTTGCGCGATCCTCCTCCTCCTGCAGCTGCTGCTGAAGCTCTGCATTCCTGTCCTCAATCTGCTTCTTCTCCTTCAACAACTGAAATAAGCGCCCCGGTGACACAGTCAGCATTGTTGTGGTATCTTGAAAGGGGTGAGGACGACTTGGATCTACGGCTTAGCGATGAGGCAGGGAACATAGAACTCTGATAAGCAGAGGACTTGCACAAGGGGCAGCGAATGCTACAGCTCGGCAGGGCAGAAACCAGGGTAACCAATTTACATGGGTTGCTGTAATGTACCCCCCCAGATATAGCCAGAAACTGTTACCAATTCACCAATTTAACCAGTTGCTTAATGACAACAAATAGCAAAATGATGAGGGCGGCAATGACGAATAATTAGAACAACGTATAAATAAAGATTATTAAGAATATAGTCAGGCACCACGTGACAGTACTATGTTGTGAATCTATGCACGTATTTTTTATATGGTGATACAGTGCTCGAAATAAGCGTTGTCCGGTTGTCCGAGACAACCAGAATTTGCGCCGGACAACCTAACCAGTCTGAGACATTGTCCGGTGGACAACCAAGAAACACTATCCCTAACCCTAACACTGACTCTAAACCGACTCGGCTATCTTATATATACGCGTGGTACCCAATTAATCTATGGTGTATAACCTTTTGCTTTCAATATTTTGCATCTGAACTGACAATCAATCCCAACCAACTGGTGTAGGCTAGCTGGCACAATAATGTTCAGTTTCATACTTCAAATCCGAGTGTTTTCTAGCTCATCAAGAAATCTTAATCGTGAATTAAATCGTGAATAATATAAAAATATGGGACCAGCTGCTATTTCCAACACTGGTATATGTCAGGTTTTCTGATTTATGAGAGGTGAACTCGATTTGGAACCAGCAAACCAGCAAGTTTCTAAAATTTTCTGGGGGAGGACCCCCATACCCCCCCCCCCTATGCCTGTTTTTCACCCCTCCCTCCTTGGAATCCTAAACCCGCCACTGAACAATTACATATCTTGGGAGCAATAATAATGAACAAAAATGCCCCCCTTATGCCTGTTTTTCACCCCTCCTTCCTTGGAATCCTAAACCCGCCACTGAACAATTACATATCTTGGGAGCAATAATAATGAACAAAAATGCCGCTTTTTTGCATGGATTGCAGAACTGAGAGGTAGAGGAGCCGTAGGGGGTGGAGAGGGAGGCGGAGGAGCCAGTAAAATATTAAGTCATCCACTATTTTGCGCAGTTCGCTGTTTTTGGTCCCCCTTGTTAAAAAATCCTGGCTATGCCACTGTTTTTGGGTGTTTTCTGATCATATTATTATGTGATTGAAAATAGGAGATTTGGGGATATTTTTTGGGACAACCAGAAATTGTTGCGGACAACCCGATTTGATGCCGGGGTTGTCCGCAGGACAACCACATTTTTTTTCTTATTTCGAGCACTGGTGATAGCAGCACGGTGTCAGAGAGCATGAGTCCTGTCGCTTACCTTGGTATGCCCATCCTCAGATATGGCCATCTGCTCCTCGTACTGCTTGATTTTGCTCTCCCCTGCGTGCTTCTCCAGTTGCAGCTTCTGTCTCTGGGCTTCCTCCTCTTCTAACCTGCATACGTAGCAATAACATCATTACTCTCACCATTAACCACAAAAAAACCCTTACTAATCTTTCTCTCTCTCTCTCTCTCTCTCTCTCTCACTCACTCACTCACTCACTCACTCACTCACTCTCTCTCTCTCACACGCACTCACTCTCTCTCACACTCCCTCCCTCCCTCGTAAATGCAACCCTACACACATCCCTCTCTGCAGGCATCCCTGTCTGCAGGCATCCCTCTCTCCATTCTCACTCCCACTTAATTTCAAAACTACAGTATTATCACCTCACTATAAGTATAACCATATGACTTATTCTATGCAGGTTATATCCTGTAGCTAACTCACTCGCGTAGGAGACCGGTGAGAAACAGAACACACAGGAACACGCGGGCATACGTACTGTTCCTCCAGGTCGCTGACATGCTGTCCCATCTTCTGTTTCTCATTGTTCAGTCTGTTTGCTCGTTCCTCCTCCTCCTCAATGCGTGACTCCAGGTCATGTAACAGTTCCTCCAGCTCAGTCTTACGAGAGGTGAGGCGCACGCGCATCTACACAACAGGACAACCACGTGATTAGAACAGCGCTAGCCAACCAAGTCAGGTCATCACCACAGTAATCGACTTGGATCTCAACTAGATAATCTTGAATACACACAGGGGAGTAGTACAGGAGCTAAGGGATATAATTGTGCACTTTTTGACCAAAGTATAGAGTCTCTAATTGTCACATAACCTTGTAAGATGATCCACATAAAAGTGCACTAAACCCAGGTGTGTCACTACAGCAAAGTGCCGTCTCACCTTGTGAGCCCACCCCATTACGCTGCCTACCGCACACCACCACCCTCCAACACGTGGCTTCAAGGTTTCAATTGCAGACTTCTCTCACCTCATCAGCTTCAGCGCAGAGCTCGGTCTCGGCCTGCAGCTGCTCAGCGAGGATGCTCTTCTCCTCAACGACCTGAGCCAGCTTCTTCTCGACCTCCTGATGCTCGAGCTTCTGCTTCTCCATCTTGTCAGCGATCTCCTTCATCTCGTTCTCCTTCACGGTGAGCCGCTCCTCCTGACCGGTCACCTGCAGCAGGGGTTTCACCTGCGAGGAGAGAGGAGGGGTTAGACTACCAGAGATTTATACCAGCAAAGGCTTTACCTTAAAGAAAACGAGGGAGAGGGAGGTCAACTACCACAGATTTATGCCAACAAGAAGTTGTTAAAGCCACAATATGCGCATCTAGATGCTAATTTCTCCAGTACTAGACTAGCAAATACTTCGTGACATGCATAATCACACTACCTTATGACAAAATAAACTCTAGTTCCTCCCATTTCACTGCGCGTTTGCTTAAAACCCAGAAGAAAAAGGTGCGAAATCTGGTAATCTGGTGCCAACGACGAATTGTTTGCCAAGCAATTTCGCCCTGAATCGGTTAGGTGATGTCACATGTTGCTACGGTTGTTGAGCAGAGAATATAGTCGTTTACATTTTAAGATAGTTGTAGTATTGTGAACTGCAGTGTATGTAACATCAATGGCTATTGGGAAAGTAATAATAGGCAGCGTAATAAACTCTGAGAATAACATATTGATTTTAGGCTTGATATCGCGAACGATAACATGTCATTACGCTAGCAGCGTGCGAGCGAAAAACGCACACGGGCCGTAGAAATCTTTGCTACACCCGCTGTACGGTTGCTTGGCAGAGCAACGCGAAAGTGTCAACAACATCGGAGAATTTGAACAACATTGGAGGTATTTTCAAATACCTTTTATAAGACAACACGCAGTGAAATGGGAGGAACTAGAGTTTATTTTGCCATAAGGTAGTATGATTATGCATGACACGAAGTATTTGCTAGTCTAGTACTGGAGAAATTAGCGTGTAGATGCGCATATTGTGGCTTTAAGTTAACCCACAAGAAAACGAGCATAGCTCTCACCAAACGAAAGGGAGAAGGAAAGGGAGATGGAGAGAGAGAGAGAGTGCAAAAGTGAGAGAGTGGGAGAGAGGGGAAAGGGGAGAGAGGGGGAAGGGGAAGAGAGAGAGATAGGAAGTTTCAGCAGAGGGTTTTACTAACAAAGGTTTACACTATAACAAGGTTGTACTATGGGGGTACCTGGACAGTAAACTATCAAATTAAGGATCATGAGCATAACAGCTCTACTTATTGCAACTTGCTTTTTATATTTACTTTGAACACACGAATGTAGTGCATTACAAACATCCAAAACATGTCAAAATCGTAGTAAGTTCAGCTCAACCAGCATGTGGCAGACTAAACTGCTTTGCCATGGTTACCTTGGTGAACAGCCTCCACCACGGCCAATTGCGCAGCTTCAGGTAGGCAGCACAGTTACGCTGGATGATCTTGATGGCACTGATCTGCTGTAGACGCTTCTGGTAGTTCCTGAGAAACAGAGCAAAAACCTATGAGGCCATCACAAAATTTAAAATCAAGAGCGTCACACATGCTCCCCACACAAAGGTGGTTCACACAAAGCCATGTCACTAGTTCCACACTACTAGCAAGCCGAAGACCCTTACACGGTTTACACGGAAGATTTTTACATTCCAAGTGTACAAGCAGCTTGGTTAGGCAATGCCAGTGTTAATCTGTTTAGTGAAAATATAGACATTATTACCACAGCTATATAGACTGAACGTATCTATGCTTTTATTGCACAATGAATTCACACTCCATGCATGGCTTTGGCATTATTACTGGGGCAGGCAAGGAGGCACGACGAATGAAGTTGGATGGATGCGGAAGGCTGGACTAGAGGTTGAAACGTGACACAGAGAGAAAGGGGAGAAATAGGAAAGCTGAAGGGAGAGAAGGTGGAAGGGAGGGAGGCAGGGAAGGAGGCAGAGAGGCAGAGCAAGAGGGAGAGAGCACATACTTGCGGGCGATCATGCCTCGACAGTAGGCCTGGAAGTTGACGATGATGTCAGTGAGCTTCAGGTCTCTCTCCTCCTCGAGATGTGCCAGCACGCCCGCACGGAAGAACACCTTGCTCTGTCCGATGCGGTACAGATTCGGGTCAAGCTCCAGTGCTTGAATCTGTGCGGTAAACATATCACATGATCAGTGAAAACCTCAATGACGACATAGGTTCACTAAGGGGTTTGTAGTGCACGATCATTGAATATTGCAGACATCAGTAACTTAAACTGTCGATTATGTTAGTGTATGATTGCATAGTCACAGTATCACTGGTGACAAGCAGTGAAGGATGTGTAAAATACAAACATACAGCACAACAGATCGATCAACATGTATTGTTCATTAAACACTTTCACAACAAAGATTTCAATGGTATGAATATAGCCTCTTCAGTTTCCTTAATGACTGACAATCAAAATAGCTCACTATCAATATCACACTTGTAATAAAGCCTCTCATCATATGACCAATTAGATATTTTAGTTTGAGGAGCATTGATCTCTGAAAGCAACTCACCATGAGCTCGCAGGCCTTCTTGCCATCCATGAAGCCCTTTGGTATCACGCTCGGTGTTAGGAATTCGTACCTGTGAGTTAACATCAGCATAAGGAGACGGCACTTCAAGTGCGCTCAATATTACACCAGTTTACTGAGGCAAATAAGTCAGTGACATTTTATACTTTGTTGAATTCCAATGATGCACTGAACATGCAAGCTGACTCTCGCCACGCCTGCCCTTAGTTTTGGCCCTTACTCCGTCTTCCCCCATGCGCTACCCACCTATGCTATTAATCCTCTAAACCAATGCCCAATAAGCTACTGACTCCCACCTATCTGCACTCTACCAACCCTCCCTTTAGTCTTTTTCTACCAGCCACCCACCTCTGACGGAAGTCCTGGAAGCCGATGCGGTTTGGGAAGCCCTGTCGGCAGATGCGGATGCCCTCCAGCACGCCGTTGCATCGCAGCTGGTCGAGCACGAGAATCGAGTCAATTTTGCCTGCACGCTTCTCGTGGTTCGGAATGATGCAGCGCACAAAGTTAGGGTTGGTGTTGCGCAGTGTCACCATCAGCTTCGACAGCTGCTCCTTGTAGAGCTGCCCGACGGTGCGGAACATGCCCTTGCGCGTGCGCGCTCCAAACTGCGTCTCGCTCATGTTTGCTGTCGCGCTCAGACCGACGATCTCGGCTGTGAGAGAGACAGATGGAAACAGAGTGAGAGTGGTCAATGTTAAACTGAGCACTTCTCCACGCTTCACTAAGTTATGCTTAGTTACACTGGCTCGCAATGATTATCTCCCCACCCCTAATTTACCTTCTGCATATATACAAAGTTATCTTCCCTCTAGATGATCATACATGTGTGTACCTGCATTACCTGCATTGCTTACATTAATTACCAGCTTACTACTGCTACCATTACTTCACTTTTCGTTCCAAACTGGCAAGGCATTGATTAATATAGCATTTAAGAAAACGAGAGATGGGCTTCATCCTATAAGCTTGTTGCCTCCTCCTCCTCCTCCTCCTCCTCCTCCACATCATCATAGTTAAGAGCAACATTAACGCACCATCCTTCCAGATCTGGGCGACGAACGGCTCGGTGGACTTCTGCAGCAGCTCTACAACATTATCGTTCAGCGGGTCCATGTTCTTCATCAGCCACTTGGCGGCAGCATAGTCAACCTGCATTAATGACATTAATTACTACATTTGCTATCACATAATTTCACATTTTACATTATATCTAGTATTATTACTACGTTTATTTCACTGGGCATTCCATTTAATGGTTAATAATCATGTTATTGCTGCCATCCTGCAACTGGCAGGAATGGTAGCAATATCACTCCCCACCTTAACACGCACACAAACATGCACAGGCACATGTGCACTTGCACTTGCACGCACGCACGCACGCACACAAGAACGCATGCACGTACACACACACACACATTGGCACAGACACATAGGCATAGATGTAACATGTCTTTTGCACGTGTTACATGAAGTAGTCAGCAAGGCTATAGACTAGGGTTGTTTGGTGACCAGTTAGTCTGCGTAGACGCAGCGTCCATGTACATTGATGTTACAGGGAGTTGGATAAGTGGGTTTTAGATTAGGCAGTTTCGAGAGTCAGTGTGAAATAGGGGTAGGATGTGGTCTGAGAGAACGGGTGACATGTGCGCTCAGGATGTAGGGAGTTTTGGGGGAATATAGAGAGAGAGATGTAAGAGGGGGGATTCTGGTTCTGGGCGCGAGAGTGAGCACACGCGCGTATGCGCGTGTGCGGCGTTCTTTGTCTGTGTATAAGGAGATGTTATGTGTCTAAGATATTAAAGATCGTACAGTTTACCACACAAGTTTGGATCTACTTCATCATTTCTACATGAACTCTCATTCCTGTTTACATAGACACGCACGGACAAACAAACACACATGGGCACACCGACACACAAATCCATATGGACGCACAGACACACACATGCATGCGCACACGCACCGCTTTTTACTACCAGAAAAGAAAACTGGATTGTGCACTTTTGTGTAGGCGGGAGAGGGTGAGGTGTAGGGAGGAATGCCTGCACATCATTGCCCATAACCATGGCAGGGCTGTGACTTCAGCAGCCATCAGTGCATTCTGACTGAGAGAGCAAGTGTTTGTTCAGTTTACGACGTTACTTCCCCCACACTATAACATTTTGTTTTACGAGTGCAGCCACACCAGCTAACAGATCCAGTTAACTACTATGGCCTCTATGCTAACATCCATACATATGGGCGCCGATCGCGAGTAGGGTAATGGGCCGAATAAAGGGCGGGTGAGTGAGAAGGAAGGGAGAGGGAGAGGGAGAGGGAGAGATATAGTGGAGGGGCATATGCAAAGCAGGAGAGGAGTGGTGCAGTGAGTGGGAAGCTTGGCAGTGAAGGTAGACAGTATAGGATTGCAATTTTCTAGCATGTGCCAGCTGATATGCTTGTAATAACCATTTTTTCAGAAAGCGTTAGCAAATAGTCAGTCACAGTGGCATAAACATAGCGTAGTGGCAGGCGTCCTTGTGATGTGACAAGCGAGTCTGCTATGACCTTATGAGACCTGAATGAGTCTGGCTCGATTTATATAACTTGTTTGTGACGCTAGTTAGCTCTACTTGTGAGCACGTAAAATTCCTACTACATTTTAATAACAGAGCATCAAGTTCACTTTATGATCGCTGATGTTACAATGTCGTGTCGTGACACTGCTAAAGCATATTTGCAGGTGACGATCAGTGACTGTACATAACCGCTACCCACCTCCTGCTATTTCTGTGCAGACTGAATGTTTGCGCAGTGCAACTGCAGAGGGATTTTTGAGAGCACCGATGCCAGGGAGTGTCCCTGCAGCGGTCTACAATGGGAAACATGTTTACACTACTTCATTCCAAACCCCCCACAGTCACCCTACCCTAATAGCTCTCTCCACCGAGTCATCACACACAGAATGTCCCTTCTCTTTCAACAAAAATAATTAATGCACTTTTATTCCTAGGTCTTGAAAGCAATACATAGGCCCACACTAGCCCAAGCTGGCCACAGTGACACAGCAACTTGAATCGCAAAACTAGCACACCTTCCAATATTTATGACTAGGATTTATATATAATCAAGGAATAGGTAGATAGCTTACAAACCAGACAGCTAACAAACCAGAAACGAGATACAGACAATTCGATCAGCAGACTGTTTGAAATGCTGATGTGAGGAATTAATTCCGTATCAAAGTGCACAAGGTAACGATATGCGTCGAAGATAATAAATGACGCACCGTAGTGCACCAGGTGGGCTGTTGGCTGGGGTGACCTTATAACAGGAGCATACAACACACATAACCAGCAACACTCTAGGTTACTAGTACTGTAATGCAGGGTTCTCCAAGGGCACTTATAGCCTGGCGGGCCCGCCAGGCTATCGTCGAGCCCCGCCATCCTAAAACACACCCGCCACGTTAAATATCATAGCCGCCATGCTGGTGTATACACATGAAGTTGAAATATTTAATACAAACAGTCACACTATCCCTATCCCTAACCCTAACTCAAACACTAACTCTAAACCGACTCAGCTATCTTATATACGCGTGTTACAGTACCAAAATTAATCTATGGTGTATAACCTTTTGCTTTAAATATTTTGCATCTGAACTGACAATCAATCCCAACCAACTGGTGTAGGCTAGCTGACACAATAATGTTCATTTTCATACTTCAAATCCGAGTGTTTTCTAGCTCATCAAGAAATCTTAATCGTGAATTAAATCGTGAATTAATTTCCAACGGCATTATTACGAGGCAGGTAACCCAGTCTAACACGAGGTATAGTAGACTGATACACTTACCGGCCACTCCTGCCATTGCCAATGGTGACAACAAATTTTTTTTTTTTTATGAGAGGTGAACTCGATTTGGAACCAGCAAACCAGCAAGTTCCCACCTACACTTTGGTAATTTTATTCCATTAATTATTTTGAATTTTCCGATGGCTTTGCCCATGCAAAACAAACATTTTCACCCCACATGCAGTGCTTCAAATTTACACACAGAGTGTCCCAGATTGCATCTCAGCTTCTACAATTCACAAATTTTCAAGGGGGGCATGCCCCCGGACCACCCTAGCAATGAGTAGCACCCCCATGCTATAATTTAAAGGCTTGGAGAACCCTGTAATGTAGCTGCGCAGTTGGGTAGACATTACATTGGTGTGCAAGTGCAGTACGTATCCTGCAGAGGTGCATACATTTTGCACATAGGTGCGTGCGTCCGTATGGCCTTCCCACGCGCGCTTAGGTTGCTGTCTGAGTGTACGTTCGTGCTTGCACGCGCTTATCTTATGATATATATATACTAGCGGGATACCCGGCGTTGCCCGGGGAAATCAGTGGCGTTACTCAGTTGGTAACCGTTTGGTTGAAAGGCAAATACCCAAAAAAATCGAACTATCTATCTATCCATGCATCCATCCATCGCATTTCATGCCATCCCATCCCATCCCATCCCATCGCACCGCATCCCATCCCATATCCCATTGCATGCCATCTCATCGCATCCCAGGCCATGCCATGCCATCCCATCCCATCCCATGCCATGCCATACATTTTATCCCATGCCATCTCATTTTATCCCATGCCATGCCATCCCATCCCATCCCATCGCACCGCACCGCATCCCATCCCATCCCATTTTATCCCATGCCATCTCATGCCATGCCATGCCATCCCATCCCATCCCATCGCATGCCATTCCATCCCATCCCAACAGTAAAAAATCATAAAAAAATAAAAAAATAAAAGTCATTAAAATAAAAAAGTCAAAAATTATAAATAATATAATGAAATTATATAGAAAATATAATAATATTTGATATGTAACCTACATAGGCTTCCGTGAAGTGTTCACGTCAGTTTGTGCTATCATTATCATCTACCATAGTTTATTCTGGATTTTTACTAAACGTTTAAATGTGGTAAAAAAAAATTGAAATTAACGGTGAATGCGCGAACACACAAATTCGGCTGAACAACTTTATATATATAGATATATATACCAACGTGAAATTAATACCGGGAGACGCCTGGCTGCACGCAGCACCGATGAAAGCTTCCGTATAAGCTCCCATGATAGCTGAACTTTTTATCGTGAAATTACGACATCAGAAAACGCTCTCGCGTGCTGCACTCTTGCTCAGCACGTGCGAAAGACCCCTAGCATGATATAACACACACACACGCGCAAGCACGCACGCACGCACGCACGCACGCACGCACGCACGCACGCACACAACCGTAAGACAACAGTGATTCTTGCCATCTTCTTCTCACACGAGGGGAACGGATATATACGTTTTCCGTTGAAGCTGTTTTACGAATGTGTTTATGCGCAACAGTTTATGTACGAGAAAAAGTATCGTAGGTATGCAACCCTGATTCCTGTTTAGGATGGAAGACCAGGCAAAAACTCATCTCAGACGAGTTTACTACAGCTAGGACACTAAACAAAAGTGGCTGCTACTGCTAATAATAAGCCTGCTTTCCTGCATACGTAGCAATAAACAGGAAATCCCTCACATGCAATGCATATCAATATGATACCATCACAGTACCATCACACAGAGATATCGGAATACCATTCACAGTTTGTAAATATTTACTGTTGCGGGAAAACTTATGATTCCAACTGTCAAAATAGTATTCAATTCATTATAATATAATCACTATGCAGATAACCATGCTGCATCTCTGTATACCATAGGGATGGCACAGAAACAGATCTGATGCACAGGGGTTGCCGTGCGGTATGATATTTATTATAACTAGCTGGAACCCGCGCTAAGCGCGGGCTTAGTGACTGTGATGCATGTGGTACCGACTGTTCAATACCCAGAGAGATAAGAGAAGAGATTGACCTTGACATTGACATTTAACTTCATTATTACATTCTTATTTCTACTTACATTATTGGGCTTACAAAAATGTCTGTGCATGCAGCACAACGTTTACAGACGGCGAAATATTACAGCACAACGTTCACAGACGGCGAAATATTAGCAAGGCAAAGATATAGCGCCCCCTATTTTCAGGCAAATCTTTACCATTTTTTTTGTCTTTTTTAAGCCCGTTTTACCGTTTTCAACCGAGTAAAGTTTAGAACCCGTCCCGTGTATTCATCAATCTCTTCTGTGAATTTGGCGCTATTTGAATCAAAACTGACGGAGCCTTTCATTAACATACATACATACAACATTTGCCAAATTATAGTAAGATAATATAAATAATAAATAATAATAATAATAATAATAAATATAAATAATATTTAGATAGATAGATTAGATAGATAGATAATAGGTTTATTGCAAAAAATTAACTGTATAAATATATTTTATTTTATTTTAATAATTTTCTTTTATAGTATAGTGTTATATAGTATGTTATAGTTTAATCATTTAATTTTAATTTAATAATATTAGAATTTAATAAATATTTAATAATATATTTATATTACATCATGTATGCACTGAAAGATCTGAAACCATGGGGTACGCACTGAGACAAATCTATTATTACTGTGGGGGTTTGCACTGGGACAAAACTGTTACACAGGGGTTCGCACTGTGATCATGGATGCATTGCACAATAAGCACTACTACCATAGCAGCCTAATGGTATGTGGTTAGTATCACTCATCCCACCAAACTCCACCCTCAGAGTTATAAACTGCCATAAGGAAACAAGGAAAGCAAGAACTTTAGTCTACGAGCATCTGATGTTTCACAGTGCTGTGCACACCATCTTGCTGTCTGCTTGAGCATCGCCCACTTTTCAATGTCTGGGGGCCGTTGTCAGAATCATCGTAAAGTTAATGCTAATGTTAATGCTAAGATAACACTTACGACTAATGTTAATGTTACGAGAGGAGCGTTGACAGAAACACAATGCAGCTATTAGAAAACTTACGATAACAGGAACTTCATAATTTGATGTCTCAAGACTGCAGATTGGATGAGAATTGATCACAAAATCCAAATTCATACACATTTATTGTGCATCACAGTAATTTATGCATATTATGATGGCTAACCACATATAAATAATATTTGATGAAAACGACACGGTCTTGAATTTATTCTGCACAACAAGACAAATTCTCACACTTTAACACGAGACGCGAGAGTCATGGTCAGTGCAAAAGTATTTAAAACAAGAGAACAAATGCCATACGTTATTTGTAAATGTTTTGTTTTGTTTCACGATCGGTAGATAATTAATGTTTTTGACGTGTTTTTCAAGAAAAACACATGATATTATCATATTACTCATTAATATAAAATATAATATCACTATAATTGTAATTCTTAATCTAAATGTGTTATTTTCATCTATTAAAGTTACGAGAGAGTCTGGGCTCTCGTAATGGAGGATATTTGCGAGGATTTTTCATTCTCGTAACTTTACGATGTTTCTGTCACCGGTTTACGAGTGGAAGTTAATGTTAAGACTAATTTTGTTTCTGACAACGGGCTCCTGGAATTTAGGCAGCACTTAACGACTTTCGCATGATGATGTGTAATCGCAGAAACCGAAGTGCCGCAGAAAACCCAGAGGCTTGTGAAATGTGCATTGAACAAAACTGAAGGTCGAAGGAAACCACGAGTCGAGGGTTGGGAATACAGGAAGAATTTGAAGCAGGGCGGATGATTAGTTTCCTGTGTGTAGCTTCCTGTTCAACCGATTCGCACCTCGTCCTGCACTATCCCTACTTCCCCCCGCTTCTCAGAACGTGTTTGCCATTGAGACTGGACAGATGCGATGTGTGCATGCGTGCGTGCGTGCGTGCGCGTGCGTACGTGTATCACATCCTACGTACGATCCTGTCTCTAGCTCGCGTACACACGCCCGATTCTGGTTCTAGCTCAGTCAGCAGTGCAGTATCCTACACCGCATCCTCTCCCTGCTTCCTGCCTCACTATGTCCTGTCATGATCATAGCTCTCAAATGACCTTCTTCATCTGTCACCAAATCCTCAGCCACAATACAAACACACACGCACACAACAATGCATGCACACATGGGTACACACATGTATGTACAAACCCAGACATATGCACGCACACACACACAAATACTCACAGGCATGGACAAGAATATGCCCACACCCACCCACGCACGCTACGCACACGCACACGCACACACACACGCACACGCACACGCACACGCACACATCACTAACAGACATGACACACGTACGCACGGCCATGCTGACTGCATGCCATCACCGACTCATTCCTTCCCACTATTATCTACTGACTGACTACTACTGACCTTGCCAGCATAGTGGATGACGCTGAAGTCAGCTGTGGAGCGGAACTCGGCGATCTGGAACTTCGGGTGGCTCTTGTGCGAGGCGACAAGCTTCTCCACAAACGTCTTGTCGTTGGCCTTCGGGAACCAGCACTCCTCATCCATCAGGGCGAGCACACCCATCGGCTGAAACACGGCAACGCTGCAAAGTTACCTCACACTTACCATCGCACTGCATCACAACCATGAATGTGAGCACACGCATCAGCTGCAGCATTACATTACATCTCCACAACCTTCATAACTCATTACAAGGCAGTATTTACCTTTAAAATTCACGTTAGCACAGAACTGAATAATTCTAGTAATGTGGTAGTCGTTGAGCAATGACTGATACGTTAGTTCAAACGGTTGATCTTGTAATTAAAACAATAAACATAGCGAGATTCTTGGTTGCCTAGTTCATTTGTTTTGCCCATTACACCATGGTGGTACATCAATGAAACTAAGAATTATTTAATAAAGGTTAGCATTTTACGAAATATAAAACAACAATAGCACAGCAGTATAGTGAATGCTAGAGACACTCTTCTCTAAATAAATCTAATGGTTCCGGACTACCTACCGGAAGTTTCCCTCTCTGCTCAACATTGGATATGGAAGTAAAGAAACAACTAGTCACAGATGGCCTTGAAAAAAACTGAAAAGCAGCCAAAGACTGCTATCTCTTGCTATAGCTGAGGCAGCATCATCTACCACATTCCATCCTCGGCTTCCCATCAGGATGCTGCCGTTCCGCATCATGACATTGGTATGTGATGGATGCTACCTACGTGACTTTCCATCATCACCCGCACCCAAAACTGGCGCTCCTACGCTGCGGCCAAGGACAAATGTAATTCTGAGTGATGTGAGGAATCCCTCGCAAACACGAAGGTATCCCTCGACGATTCCACTTAGAATACGCATGGCAAGATGGCAATGACAGCGTGTAAACGCGTGAGCACGAAGGTCGACAGTTGGCCCAGAAACGACACAGGAGCGATGACAGCACCACCCACTCTCTCCACCTACCTGCCCACGCAGCTGGCTTCAGTTACAGAGATACCCTCCTCCATCTTGCTATTCTGTCTTTGCGCTGCATTAATTAGACGCATGAAAGACGACCAAAAAATGGCACGCTCGGAATTTTTGTGTATATATGCTTAAATTATACAGGGGCTAAGACAGTGTCGCATGTTTTCGGTAGTGGAGAGCTGAACAGGCTGAAAACCCCTACCAAGAATTCTAACTAACTGATAATATCATGGCAGGCCGTGCTTGGCAGTAAATTAGAAAAGCCATGTTGACATCCTTGCAGAATTTGAGGCATAACACAAACATCTACAATTACTACTAAATCAGAAAGGAAGAATCCATATGTGTAGAGATACACATACTAAGCAGCTAATGGCCCTGTCACACATTGACGATTTAGACAGCGTAGGCCGGACGTATCAAAATTTCTCTAAAACGCTGGCATACGCTGAACTATCGATGTTTTTTTCAATTTTGGGCGTATACATAGCGTATTCATAACGAGTTGGACGTATACTTAACGTATTAGTAACGTATATAGAACGTTTCGATAACTTATAAGATAACTTATACCAACGAATGCTTAGCGTATTGCCGGCGTTCACAACTTATGCCCAACGATAGTCTAACTTATGCATAGCGCGCGGTAGCGTATCGCCGACGATCACGTGTCGATCGTAGCCTATAAAAAGGCTGCCGCTCGACGATTCAAATCATAACCGCACTAGACATCACAGTATCAACATCACCGTCGCAGTATCAACATGCCAATACCATTTTTATATACCAATTCCCCTAAACGCCATTATACGGTAGCTGTAAGTTAGAAACACATTCAGTAAGTTCTGTGGTCGTCCGGAACACGTCAAATACCTCTACATACGTCAATATGCGTTGGAGATAAGTTACACATAGGTTCAAAGCACGTTACTCATAAG